TCCAGTTCCTGACGCATGTGCTTCTCCTTCTGGAGGAACTCCTTCTGTTTGTCCATCACTTCGGTGTTGATTTTGATGAGTAGGTCTGAGTTGGCGCCGGACGTCCGCATGAGTTCCTCGCACTTCAAGTCCAGCGTGTGGTTCATCGACGATAGGACGGCGCACTTGTCCTCAGCGTCCTGTCGCCGACGGATCTCCTCGTCGCACACGGACCTGATTTGTGTCAACTCCCGCTCCAGTGAGTGTACTTCGGCTACCGGTGCCCAAGACGTGGGAGGTAGGGGTGAAAAGTGGAAATTAATTAATTGTTTTATGAGTTTTTCTATGGACTGTAATTTTGTATTTGTTTAGTATTTATGAGCTTTATAATGATAATAAAGTTTTATTATATTGGAATACTGGATCCTGATGATATTTGTAAATTGTTAAGTTAATTTTTATCATTTTTAGAGATTATACATATGTGTATAATAGTAGTTATAAAATCATTAATGAAATCTATATATTTTTATAAATTTAGGTAATTTATCGACTGTAAATATGTGCCTAGTTAATAATTATGAGATTTATTAGGAATTATATTCATAGTAATTTTAGATTTGCCCAGTATACCCGAGGTATATTGGAATAAATTTCTTAAATAATCACATAAAAATATATACTATGGTATTAATGTTCATAATCCTGATCATACAAACTTGTTCATAAGTATTAGTGAAGTTTTATTCATGCAATACCTGTATACAATATTGTATCATTAAATTAACATTCTTTATTAAACACTTTTGTCTAAAATGCTATTAATTACATGCAATAAAAATAATGTTATAATTCATACTGGATTATTAATTATAAAATGTGTTATATTCAATTAAAATAAGCGTTTAAAACATACAATTAAAATACATTTAGTGGTTAATATACATTATGTGCATTCATAAAAATCTATACACTATTAACAATAAATACTACAAAACTATACATTATTCACAAGTCTAGAAAATAATACAAATAATTGTTAATTGCATTCAAAAATGTTAATAATAAATTATAGTATCATAAACTAAAAACTAATATTAACCATGCTCATTTAGCACTTATAACAGCGAATAACTGGTCATACCTTCAAACTTTTCGTATTTATGTTTGGTCTCGAGTAGGCTTTCCTCCAATTGCCTCTCAATAGCCTCCTTATTGTCGAGCACCGACTCCAGCGTTTGCTTACCGGTGCTGATGTCCCGGAGCTTATCCTCCAAATTCTGGACCCGTTTCTCGCATTCCGTCAACTGTTGAGTCAATTGTTTGTTTTGGTCACAGAATTGCTGTTTCAATGACTCTTCCCTTTTGATTCTCATATTCAAGTCGTCTATCGATTCTGTCGTAAGAAATAGAAAATTAATTTTTATTTTTAAAAATTATTTTATAATTTTATAAATTATGACTTAAGATTTATGTTGTAATTGTTATTTTAACGAGTTTAAATTAATTTTTTTATTTCAAGTTTATGTGAATTAAACTGGAACTCCTATTAGTTATAACTGTATCTCAAAATTATATTAATTGTGTTTGAGCATTGTGTTCAGTATTTTTTAATATTTAAATATGTCACAATGACTTATTAATGTACTGGTTGCTAAATTTATGAATCAGATTATGATTGTAAAATTAGTTTTCAATTAGTTCAATAAAACTTATGCTGCAATTGTACCTATGTAATAATCCGGGTAACTATTGTGAAAAATTAATATAAATATATGAAAATTGGTATAATCTAAAATTACAGCTTGTACCATTTTATAAAAAATATATAAATCAATAACTAAACCAAAGTTTCATCCGGGCCAATAATAATCCAATATTTTAACATTAAAAACATGATAACAAACTACTATTTACTAATTTACAGTTTATATACACTAACTTAATCAAAAGTAACTAGCTTATATATTTTCATATAACTATATTACATATTTAATAAATAAATCAATTCATGATAACCAATAAAACTATTCACAAAACATTGGACAACAAACCTATTTGCCTATCAGTCCGCTGCCGAGTGCTGTCTAACTCCAGTTCCAACTCCTGTAGCCTTTTCTGGCAGTTCTGGAGCTCTGTATTACGCTTCTCGACCGACGCCTCCAACTGGAAGACAGCCTCCTCTTTGCGGACCACCTCCTCCTGGAGGGCAAACACCTCGGCCTCCCGTTTGCCCTCCAAGTCCTTCAGTTTGTCTACCAGTGCCTCCACTTGCTCTGAGTCCGACTTTTTCAACAGCTCTGAGTCGGCCTTCATCTGCGCCCTCACGACATCCATGTCCTCCCGGAGCTTATCGATGGTTGACTCCAACTCTGACCGCATTATGGTCTCCTCCTCCAGTCTACCGTTGCGCGAGTGAGTGGGAAATGGATTAAAAAATTGTTATTAATTTAATTGACTCTCATATTACTGTCCAAACTGTATGGCCCTATAGATTGGGATCTCAACTACCGGTCCTTTAAATCATATAAATTATTACAAAACAATTACTTCTAAAATACAATTAAAATAATGTATTAAAAACTTTTTTTTAATACAGAATTACTTAAAATATGAAACTACTGGCGCTGTCTACCCAACCATCACCTAAACTGCGAGTACATAAAAATACCGGCGCTTTTAATTACCAACAATACACTTAACTCATTATATATAATTTAAATGCACTAAAACTAATTAAATTAAACATTATAACCACCTTAAACTACCGGTGCTTATTATTAATAAACATACACAAATAAACAATAATATATAATTTAAAATACACTTAAAAATAATTAATTAAAAAATTAACAAAACATTGTTTAAAATCCTAAACTACCGGTGCCACCAACACCTCCCAGCCCCGACTCACCTAAACTGCAAGTCCTCCAACTTCTTGCGCTCGTCCTCTAACTGTGCGTTCAGTTTGAGCTGTTGTTCCTCGTATTCCTGGTTCAACCTCTTCAGCTCCTGTATCTCCTCGTCGGCCTCCTGTACCAGTCGCTGGTGGTCGGCCTGAAGCGCCTGTAGCTTCTCCTCGAGCGAGTCCGCCTGTGCCGCAGCCCTGGACACCTCTCCCCTCTCCAGATCCCGTTCCTTCAATAGTTGGCTGA